GCTATAAAAGAAGCCAGCAGCGAGCCACCAACATTCATGCGTTTCTGATGTTGCCGGCATTTCACTTCAGTGCGTGCTGGCTGCTGAAGAAGTAGTTGTTGGCTGGAGTGGATGGTTAGAGAGGTGGAGAGTGGAGGTCTACAAGAGGGTTGAGGTTCGAGGCTGACATAACCACCATCTCTGCAATGAGGGAGAAGGCCGCTGAAGTGATGCAGCTGCAGCATAGCTGGAGGAGACGCGTGCTGCCATAGTCGCGGTCGTTGGCAGCAGCGCAAGGGAGGTGCTGTCTGTCTAACACAGCAGCGTTTTCAACAGTGAGGGGGAGGTGTTGCGCGACCATCACGGCAACGGCAGCCATTGTTGGAAAAGTGTTGGGGAGATGCTGCGTGGTTTTGGGGGCAACGACAATTTTCGTTGATGTACTGCGGGAGCGCTGCTAAATTTTTGTAGTGGCGGCACGAGTTTTTTTTGTGTGGCGACGAGGAAGCGCTGCTGAAATTTTGCAACGGCGACAGGTATTTGGTGGTGGTAACGCGCGAAATTTTGCAGCGGCAGCATTGGTATTTGGTGGTGGTAACACGGAAACGCTACAGGATTTTGGCAACATGTACTGGATTTAACGACAATGGTGCGGAAGCGCTGCCGATTTTTGACGGTGGTGGAGGCAGTATTTTTGCGCTGACTGCAAAAAGCGGTGTCTGGGCATTGGTGCAGGGAAGGTGTCGCCGAAGTGATAGTGCACTTTGAAGTGGTATAAGTGTGACGCAGCAGTGACTCAGTGATATTGAAGGCAAGTGACGGCGGCACTTAAGTGCTATCAAATTATCGGGAGTGATTGTATGTTGGGGAAGTCTCGTGGCAGGTGATCACTTTTGAAGGAGAAGTTGTAGACACCTTGTTGACGACTTGTTGTGACGATCCTTTTATCAAGCGGCGAGGTTCTAAACGGTCTTCTTGAGTGAACCGTTTTTGCAAACTTCACTTAAGGTTAGTCTGCTATTTAGTTGACTCAGTTTCCCTTGCACACCTGTGTGAACCCACACCTTGCATGACCTTGCTTCAAATTAAGGGAAAAGGTAGAGTGAGATGTGTGACGTCATGCATGTGAAAAGGGCCGACTTTGGTTGGGGAATGGATGATTTCAAATTGTTTTTTTTTTTTTGTTGATTGTCCAGGTAGGGCAAGGAATATGTGTGAGAAGAGATCGGCATTTTGCTTGCTCAAGCGAGGATGAAAATGTTACTCTTCTTCAACTCTTGACCTGTCTGTATGTCAAAAGAAGAATATAGTGAAAAAGAAGAATTGATAGGTGCCGAAAAAATGGAATTCGTGGATGACGAAAATGAAGATAAGAAATAATTTAGTATCTTCCCCCAAGGATCATCCCGTTCTACCCCGAACGACCATTTCCCTCTGTACTCGTCCCAAAAAAAGTTTTAACTCCTCCTTCGAACTATTTGCTGATTCGTCTAAGTCAACCCTCAGCAGGAAGGTATAGAGAAAATGTTTACACCTAGAGATTGGGACTTCTTCTCTCTGGGAGGCATCCGGAGCAGGGGTTCGTTGCTTTAGGAGCCAACCCTGTTATTGACCCAGAGTGGACCGTTTAACGGGGGAATACCATGCTGTATTGCGGTGGAGCCAGCCCAACTTTTGGGACCTGAACAATGTGTTGGGGCGAGGAGGAGGGGTATTACAAACCACTTTCTAGAGGGTAGGATGTCCTGCAGTAAAGGGTAGTCGTTTTCTCATACTTTCAAGTAGGGAGGACTTAATTTAACACCTTCCTTTGGGTGGCCGTCTTAGACGCCACCAACGCATGGGGAACTGGTGCCAAAAAAAGCCCGGTTCATATCTCAAATATTGTTAAAGAAGTGCAAGTAGGCACTACTTTCATGGTAGGACCGTGACACAAGAATCACGGCCCGGGGGGCGGGAATGAGAATTGAGTACAGAGATAGGTATATATAAATTTATTTTAACAAAGTCGTTACTCTGTCGTTCAGATGTCCACAGGAGCAATTCGATTATTCAGCACACGTGAGGCGCCGATAGATTGGATAACAATGCCGACACGATCACGTGTTGGTATGATACGAAAAGGACGTCTGGTTTATAACCCGCATGAACTTTTCTCGAAACTAAATGAGCTGTGGTTTTGGGATGGAAGTGTGAGGAACCCACTGCGGAATTATATTTTCTTGGTAGAGCATAAACGATATATTGTGCGGTATGAATTTGCACCTCCTAATCCATCCCGAGATTACGGGGACATGAATCTCGTCGTTGTTCATGAAACAAATCTAGTTATAGAAGACATTCCTGAGGTTAGACGAATATTTCTCTATATTGTGTTGTGGCTAAATGATCAGCAAGGTCCGTTCGGTCTTTTTCATCATGTGAGGCGGGTGCGAGCAAATAGATTTTGCACTTCTAGCTCTCTGAATGCTTTGACGTCATCGCATTCGATAACGAAGCTTGTGAGATCCAGGAACGTCTCTTTCAACTGACGATTCTTTGGGGTGTGCAGATGACTAGCGGACAGCGAGATCTTACTCTAGCCAGATATTTGCTGGTTCGCGATAGTATGAATGAGGAGATGATTCGACGTGCTGAACGACTTTTATTTGCGCAGGATGGGGAACCCACTCGCTGGGTTGGTTTTGTTGGATTGCTTAGAGATGGGCGAGGATTTTTCCCAAACTCGCGCGCGGATGTCTGTGCTAATGTAGCCCGACTTCCGAAAGAATTTCATGGATATACGTTGTATTTCCATTATGCGAGCAATCTCCAATGCCTTTCTCGGGTCATTGTGAGCGTTAAAATTACCGTGTTTGGGAAGCGCTACGGCGTCATCCGGATTAAGGACACCACGACTGGGCCCCTTTTCCGAATGTGACAGCCATTTCGCGCCATAGTTTGGAGGCTAGCTTCACAAATGGCTTCCCTTAATGATATGCGGATGCATTACCACCTTTTGATGATGAAGAGCTTGCCCAACTCGACCAGATTGAGGCTTAGTCCAGCAACGACAACTCTATCATGGCTAGACGCGCTTTTATAAGTCAGATGTCCAGTTGAGTTGTCCTTATAATAGAGTCACGCTTATATAACTCTGCGAGGGTAATAATAATAATAATAAATAAAAAATAAAAAAATCTTTCGTAAATAAGATCAACCAGATGGATAGTATCTGAATTGCTTGAATGATTGGACTATCATGCTTATGCATTGAGGGGTAAGCACACGCATGGCAATGCAAGCTGTGTGTAAGTTGGTTGAAGTGAGGGAATAATTTTTTCAAGTTGAATATTTCCTTCGGAAGGCACACAAATAAGGGTTTTTGCGGCTTGAAGATGAAGGTTGATTTAGAAAAAAAAAAAAACACCTCACCTCGTGACTCTCCGGCTCGCTAAGAAATCAGTCCGAGTTCGATCCGTAGTGGGATCAAACAAGAAGAGAAAAAAACTTTGAACGGTTCTCGATTTATGTGTGTCATCCTTGCGCAGGTGCCATGCTATCTGCGCGGGGGATTTCCGCCACATGATTTCTATGATCGTACGGTCGTGGTCGCGCCTGTTTGCAGTAAGGCGGGCAACTCCAAAAGGAGCTAGCTCGGTAGTAGCAGTTTTGGGATTCAATCTCGGTGTCCGCTGGGTGAAAGTCCGACAATGTGACCTACTGGGCTAGCTCCTATCACGTAAGTGAGAGGAGCAGCTCTTCTATATGAAGGGCTTGCCCAATTATTATTCCCATATCGTGAGCTTGCAGACCTTGCCTGCCTTTGGCCCTGCTGCCTTGCATGCCTGTGCCCCTGCTGCCTTGCCTGCTTGGGGCCTTGCAAACCCTGCTTGCTGCTTCCGCCGCAACAATCGGATGCGTGTATCAGCCGCGGTGGTCTCCAACTCTTAGAAGAGCAGGCCGTTGGGTCTCTCGACCACCATCGCTCTTTTAACCCGCTCTTGTACAGAGGGTCTTGTAGGTTGTGAATCGCGGGGCTTAGCAGCCGCGCGTCATTATCTTTTAGTAGGATAGGTCTAACCTTAGCGTTTTCACGTCCACATACCTCTGCGGCCTCAATAGATCCCACCGGCTACCGCCATTATTTTTGGACGAGAAAGGCGTTTGAACTAAAATTCAGAAAAAGTTTCAGGCTCTCGGTCATAGGTTAGTTTGAATAAACTTTTGGCGTTCGTCAGTCCCATCAAGTCCTCCAGTTCAATAAAAAAATGTCGGACGGCGTCCGACATCGAAAAACACGGGCGGATACTTTTGTCAGGATTTCTATGCCGACAGCATTCCCGGGCTCCATTGAACGACTTCCACGTTGTTCACGCTGTCGGAATTCTCTATACAAAGTTTCACAGGTACTTCTCTTAGTATCTTTTGACCCCAATAAAGTCCAAGATATTTTAACAAATGGATATTCGAAAAAAACAGACTCCTCACCATTAAGCGAGTTATGCCCTCGAAGCCAAAATTAATAATCATTCTGCACTCATGGAATTGGTACCACATTCAACCCCTGGTAAGGCTGAAATTGAGACTTGGGTTTAGATTTAGCCCTTGGAAGTAAAAAATTGAAAGGACTTTGTTTTAATGGTTCCGACATTATTCTGCCGGTAGTAAAAACAAAATCTTTTGAATTATGCTGGATTTTTCAGCTGATGCTAAGAAAATTCACTTAGTTGGAACTCACAATTTAAATCATCTAGGCAAACAACCATCACTGTTGGGATTTTAACCCGGGTCTCTCACGTTCATGGGGATGCATTCGCAACATCTCAACACATTCACGTGTTGCCAGGAGTCTAACCTTGGCCTCCGATGTAACACAAGGATACTTGTACTATTCTACAGTAACGGTTGTCGGGGAAGATAATATAATTAGGTGCCGAACCTTCAACTAACTCCCAAAATGAGGCAGGAATAATCCCTGACAGGTCTCCATAAATCCAACCTTTGAAAATCGTTCATACATAGTTTGGACTATCTATTCAATATGAGAGGACCATTTACTTAAGTCATGTACCTGAGTCTCGTAACCCATTCCAATTGTGCAATTTAACCCATTCCAATTGTGCAATTTTACAAACACCTAGAATTCTCATGTCTTAATATCTTCGAATATTATGTGACTGCATCGAGGAGTGGTGTAATCCTTGTAAGGGATAACTTCTCGACATCAAGCCCCGCTTTAGATTTGAGTCTCACCACCTTTCCTCTGATTTCAGTATTGCAACTCTGTTAATCTTACATCTGCAAGGCGAGATAACCCCATCCTTACAGTCCAAGTTGGTCAGACAAGGATCATAAGGACACGGTGACCCTGCTTGGCACAAAGTTAAGCGACCAACCCTACCCTTGTGATAAGCAGCGATCGCTCCCCACCATAGGCGGAGTCTGATACCTTCCTCCTCTTTAGTGATAGTGTAGTCGTTGCCTTTTGTAAGGAAAATGACATCAATCTCATTATCGACCAGGAACAAAGTTCCGGCACGAGCCGCACTACCACCTACAAGGCTCACATTTTTCAGGAGTATCAAGAAGTAATAAAGAGTAGGTATTACATATAAAAATTCGATACTTATAAGACCATGTGCCTATGAAACAAATACATATTGTTTTGAAAGTCACACGTTCTTGAATTTTATACCCTTTTTCACACAATAAATTGCAGCTTTGTATAAATGATCCAAGCCAATCCCTCATAAACAAGACACATTCAAAATGAAGGGAAAAAAAAAAATGGATGCCCAGAGAATCATTTTTACAAAATTTTTATAAAAGTTTATGAGACATCAATTATCTCATTTAAGAACCAGAAATAATAAATAGGATGACATCAACAAATAATTCATCACAAGTTCCTATATTCCGGTCCGTCATGTGGAAAATATATTTTACAAATGTCTAACATAAAATCAAGTTAGTCAGTGGTATTAATGTCTGTTAGAAAAAGTAAGGCAGTATCATAGAACCCGTAAAATTACATACGTTTCTTTTCCATCACTATGAACAAATTTCTTCAAGTGCGAATGTGAAACCCAATTTCGCCCACGTGCTCCATCCATCTCCTCAAACTTATATGCCCCATGCTCCGTTTTCTTAACAATACGAGGTCCCATCCATCGATTATCGCATCGATTATCCCATCGATTATCTAACTTCCTCGACCACTGCTTTTCGAGAAAAGAGTCATAGAGGAGAACAATATCATCGATTTCTAATGGTTCCTTCCTAACCCGGGGCTGCTTATCCCACCTAATTCTATCTGCCCGTCTGCTATTTGCAATTGTTGCAGCAACCTCTAAAACTCTTTCCTCAGTAGCCTTTATTTGTTTGGCTTTAAGGTCCAGCAATTCTTCTGTAGAAAGCATGAATTTCATATCTTGTTTTTGCCAAGTGGTCTGGAAACTCTCGATTGGAAATGTAGCATGTCGACCAAACCATAATGCAGCAGGAGCATACCCCGTAATCCGCTATACAATTATATTTTCAGCAAACATGACAATCCTCAAATAAACGCGCCACCAGCACACCATTTGGCTAACAAATTAGTCAAGGTGGCGTGCCCACGTTCGGCAGGAGCGTTAGCCTGGGGGTGTGCTCTAGTAGTGTAACTATAGTTCACTCCCAACCTCTTCATAAGAGTCTGAGCCTCTTCTGCTCGAAATTCACCACCTCGATCCATCATAAATTCTCGAACAAATGGATACCGAAGGATAAACTCTTCGATACATTCTGCCAAGATCTTTCCGGTTCGTTCCCGGATTGCACGTCCATCAACAAACCCGGTAAGATAGTCTCTTGCATCAAAAATATATCTACACCCATTAAGTCTGGGAGGCATAACCACCAGATCGAGTTGTACAACTGCACCTGTCTCAACCACATATCGTGGATTAAGTGGCTTAGTGTACCAGAGACTCGAACGTTTCTAGCAAGGGCCGCATGAGTTACAAAAATCCGCCACCATCTTACCTATTCCATCCCAAAAGTAGAGATGTTGAACGTAACTCGTGCAGACCGATGTCCACTCGCCATTCCATCATGTAAGGCTGCAATTACATCCAATTGTGTGGGGAGTCCACATACCACTCTCTTAGGCATACCATCATCAAACTTTTTGTAAAAATGCCCATGGCGGGCGATAAAATATTTTGCCTTTTCTCGGATTTCTGGTTCTACTTCTCTTCTCTAAGATCCCCATTAAATCAAAATCCAATTGTTACGATCCTGGCCAATTTTGAAGTCCACAATCATCAGAAAGTACAATGTTGTCCAATTGCGAAAATAAATGAATGAACTAGAGAGGAGAGAGAGGGAAAGAAGAAGAA